ATACTTTTAAATTCCATGTGCACAGCCACCGTCCCCGAAGTGACAGACTCACTCGACAGTTTGTCATTACAGACCTTATCAGGTGCAGTTTATACTTAAGCGCTGGATGAAGAACTTTTGTTAATTCTCTAACTGTCCTAATCACCATCACAGGAAATGAAAGTGAGGGTGAATACAAAATATGCAATTGTTCTTGTAAAAACTGTCTAGATGGGATTTCCCTCACATCATAAAAGATAAAGATACCTCTCACCTCCTATTAAAAAGGAACATCAGTCCTTCTGTGTTAATATTTCTCTTTAGCCCCCTCTTACCAGACATGGCTATGCTTAAAAGTATCTAAATCCAATCCTTTTTTTCTATTTTGGATAGAGGTTGGATAGAATATCTGATATTAAAGTTCTGCCACACACTACTTCATCAGCACCCCCCCCCCCCCCCTAGTAACCCGATTGAAAAAAAGACTGATAAATTTAATCTCACGGTCCCCAAATTCATAAGCACACGTCCGCTAAAACTGCTTCAGTATCTTCCATCTACCACCTTCACAGTCTACGGTGCTGCTTACACGATCCCTGCCACCCTCAATGCCCCAGAATAACCAGCTTCAATTGTAACTGGTGCTGTATCCCAAGCAGTGATTTTAACCTCTAATTCTCTGTATAAACTGTGCAAAGAGCTTGACTCCCATGGAGCTGCTCTATTATTATTCAGTTTTGTAAATGGGTGTCAAAAGGCATTAGGGGCATGTTTATCCACCCCTTTCATCCAAGTGTATGGTTAGAACAGTATTATTTAGTAAAGTTGTTGCTAAATATGAAAAGATTGGTAATTGCCATGTCTAAGTAAAAAGATTAACAGTTATCCCTCAGTAATATTCTCCACACTCTTCTACTGCATCATAAATGCCTGCAGTCATACCTTTCACATTTCACTACCACACACACTGCACCTTGTCATGTATTCTGCACATACTGTGCACAGTCATACTCCCTGCACGTACTTTCTTCTCTCATAACCCCCGTGTCCCTCTCCTGTATATATGGCTTGATAAAACACTTCTTTAGCATTGTTTGTTATTCCCGCAACCTTCCCCATTCTGGAACTGGCACACTGTTGCTAGTTTTTATAACAAAAACTCAACATAGAAAACAAAGATTCAGATTCTAAATAAAGTCAATAAAAAAAGAATATGGCTTACCATCATTTTTTCAAACAGAGCCAGAACTTCTTTATCAGACAGCTGCTTAGGAGGAAAGTCTTCATGCTCAGATGATGTAGACCAGTCACTAGAAGTGTTATAGTTCTTTATGTAGTTTAAATTAGGCCGGTCTTTTCTACTTCCAGGAATACGAATGCTGGCAAATCTGTCCAACTAGAAATAAATTAGGACTGGATCAATTTTTTATACATAAAAGTCAAGCCATGTTTGTAGAATATGAAATTAATCTTTAACACTTGATGTTTGGGGTTAGAAACACATCTCTGTAGGATCAGCTTTCAAAAAGTTAAAAACTTAATGCCAAACCATCTTTTACATTTTATTTTTGGATACAGTAAAATTTCTGCTGAGTTTTTTATTTACAAAAACTAAGAAAAACATGTTTTGTTTTCTCAAATTTTCAGTCTTTTTTCATTTTTCTAGCAAAAAAAAATAAAAACCCCAGTGGTAATTAAATACCACCAAATGAAAGCTCTATTTGTTTGAAAAAAATTATAATTTCATTTGGATACAGTGTCGTATGCCTGAGTAATTGTCATTCACAATGTGAGAGAGTTGATAGCTGAAAATTGGTCTGGACAGGAAGGGAGTGAAAGTGTCCAGACATGATATATTGATATATAAGTGATATATTGCTCATGCATGCCTTGGGTATATGTGGAACACAACCCCAAAACACATTCTGCTACATCTCCCAAGTCAAGGAATTTGATAAGAGGCATGGTGAGTATTTTACAGATATCATTTTTGTCACAGAGTTTTGAAAAAAAATAAGAAAAAAACATACATTTTTGTTTTTTTTCTTTGTTTTCCAAAAACGTGGCAACAAATGAGATCAGCAAAATACTCAACATGCCTCTTAGCAAATACCGAGAAAGTGTCTACTTTTCAAAAAGGGGTCATTTGGAGGGGTTGCTTCTACTATGCTGGCATTTCAGGGCCAACATTAGAAGCTTATGCCACAGATTGAAGCATAGTAGAAGCAACCCCTCCAAATGACCCCTTTTTGGAAAGTAGACACTCCATGGTATTTGCTAAGAGGCATGTTGAGTATTCTCCCAATCTCATTTGCTAGGTCAGAAAAGGCTTGGTCTTCAAGAGTGAAGCCTTTTCTGACACTTTGTTACTTGAACAAACAGTTTTTTTGCTAGAAAATTACTTTGAAGCCCCAAGCATATTTTTTTTTAAGCAGAGGCCCTAGAGAATAAAACGGTTGGTGTTGAAATTATTTACATCACTCAGTATTTGCACAGCGATTTTTCAATCTTTTGGGAAAAATACACTTTTTAGAATATTAATGCAAAACAACCCAATTGTTAGATAAAATATAAAAGATGATGTTACGCTGAGTAAATAGAAACAAAACATGACATGCTTTAAAATTGTGCATGTCCGTACAATGGCAACAAAGTACATACATTTTGAAATCTATAGGCAACGCTTTAAAAGCCTTTATAGGTCACCAATTTATACTTACACATGAGGTCTAGTGCTACAATTACTGCCCCTCAATCTGGACTACTGTGGGGGAGGGTGTTTGTTACACTTTCCGTTGCAAGAGAAATAAAGATAATTTCTCCTGCAATGCAAAGCTTGCTGTCATGAATGAGCTAGGTTTTGGACAGTTCAGGATCAAGTGATCTGTGATTGGCTGGAGCTGGTCACATGGTACAGGGTGCTGTGATTGGCCCCATGTATCATGTGACAGAGTTTTATGAATCAGATTAATTCATAGCAGCTTTGCTTACATTGTGATCATGTGATTGCGTAGCGATCACATGATCATCAGGTCCCGTTCACCGAGATCTTCATTCCGCTGTGGAGCAGCAGTCCTGGGTGGGGAGCGCTGTGTGCCCGCTCCAGTGCGCAGCGCCCCCGTGTCTGTACAGCCAAAGAGATGTACCCGTATGTCACTCTGCCTGTAGCTGCCGCCCGGCAGGGCAGACTGGAAGCAGTTAATCACACACTATTCCTTTGTTTACATTCCCCTCTCAGGTGACAACTGTCTAGGCAGGGATGTGTCACTGCTTGTTGAGATGATGGCGTGTGCCGCCTCCCTAACAACTGGGAGCCCTAAGAAGGAAGCGGTTTTATTTAGCAGTGGTAGTAATAGCATTGCTAAATGTTTCACTTCAAACTACAGCTGAAGTCCCATCATGCCTCTGTCTTTGGGAGCTATACTTGTAATGGTCAGCCTTGCAATGCCTTATGAGATGTGCAATTCCACAGCAGCTGAAGGGCCTGCCATACACTACTCACAGTGCTGAGGTCGCCCTCATATTAATGCAAATATGCAAATGTCCTTAGCCAATAGCATTAGGCTATTTTCTCTATTTGTTCATGTTCTTTAACTATTATGGTCATTTTTAACTTAGGATGGAATATTCGGGAATGTAACCCTCGCCTGGCACAGGGAAACAAATAGAAAGTTACATACATATTACAAACAGTAGTGGTATTATTTGTTACATTATTGTACTAATGAGGAGACATTCGCAAAGCAATTTTTTAAAATAAATAGACTGCAAAAAGATTATGTATAGCCAAAATTCTCTTGGATAGAGGGAGGAAGGATTAGAGCCCCGTCTTTTTTTTGTTTAATCACTACCTGTGTCCTTAGTAGGTAGATTCACTCTCTCTATTTAACCAATGCCATCAAGAAAGTGTTGGGAAATGTAAAATTATTCAGCGGTCGTTAGACCAATAGGTGACACCTGTCCCAATGACCCTGTATAAGTGGAGACTTTCCTTCACTTTGTAGACATTTCCTTGAACTTCCAGTTGTGTTGCCAGGCCAGGAAGGGAAGGGAAATCTTCTAAAAAGGGCAGAGACCTAGTTTGTATTTTGCAATTAAAGAAAATACCAGTTGGTCCTAAATCGAGTGTTTTGTAACTATTCTATCAGGGAAAAAAGGTAACATTAGTTTTGAACTTTACATCTGCTAGTTTATGTCATGCCCCCATGTTTTGATCTTGAATACAACACTGCCCTGCCCTCACGAACATTATTCGCACCCTTAATGTATTTAAAGAATTAAGTAATGCTGCCCCCTTTTCCTCCTAATCAAGACTGTACATATTAAGTTTTCTGCAGACTCTCCTGATATCTTTTACGTTCCACACCTTTTACCCTAGGACAGGCAGTGTGCTACTGGCAGGATCACCAAGTTCAATGAAGGATATAAAAAGGTAACAAATGCCGCTACCACACTACAAAATGCTTTAACCTCTAGTGACCTGTTTTATATCAACTATTGAAAACAGACATCTTAAAAGAAAAAATAAAGTGCAGCTCCACACAGTTGTAAAAATTCATCTTGCAGTGCCCCCTTCATGACGTCTAAGTGGAATGGAATAAGAAGCAATACTTACTCATTTCGTCATCCAGCGGTGCTTCCTCCATTCCCTGTATGTGGGTGGGCAATCAAGGTACCATGCAGGACAAGACTGACTTTGTTGAGGCCATGATAAGGCTTCGAGGAGCTGCTTTGCAGGACAAGTCACACAGCCAGGAAGAATCCTGCGAGAGCAAGGAAAAAGGCATTTGTGTGTGTGGCGCGCGCGCGCGCGTGTGTGTGTGTGTAAGAGGGTATTTACTGCAAGGTGAATTCTTATAGCCGACTAGAGACTTTAAAAGAGAAGTTCACCTTTTGACCAAAAAATAATAAATGCACTTTTTTTTGCAGGTAAAGGAAGGGGGACACCCCTCCAAATCATTGGATTCAAGTGTTCTAATCTCCTCCATGGCCACGGATGCATAAAATCAAGCACCTAGGCATGCAGACTGCTTCTACAAACATTTGTAAAAAAAATGGGTCACTCTCAGGAGCTCAGTGAATTCAAGCGTGGTACCGTGATAGGTTGCCACCTGTGCAATAAGTCCATCCATGAAATTTCCTTGCTACTAAATATTCCACAGTCAACAGTTAGTGGTATTATAACAAAGTGGAAACAACTGGGAATAACAGCAACTCAGCCACAAAGAGGTAGGCCACGTAAAATAACAGAGTAGGGTCAGTGCATGCTGAAGCGCACAGTTGCCAACTGTCTGCAGAGTCGAGAGCTAAAGTCCTTCAAACTTCGAGCGGCCTTTAGATTAGCACAACAACAGTGCGTAGAGAGCTTCATGGAATGAGTTTCCATGGCCGAGCAGCTGCATCCAAGCCTTACATCACCAAGTGCAATGCAAAGCGTCAGATGCAGTGGTGTGCAGCACAACGCCACTGGACTCTAGAGCAGTGAAGACCTGTTCTCTGGAGTAACAAATCCTGCTTCTCTGTTTGGCAATCCGATGGACGTGTCTCGGTTTGATGGTTGCCAGGAGAACAGTGCTTGCTTAACTGCATTGTGCCAAGTGTAAACTTTGGGGGAGGCGGGATTATGGTGTGGGATTATGGTGTGGGGTTGTGTTTCAGGGGTTGGGCTTGGCCCCTTAGTTCCAGTGAAGGGAACTCTTAAGGCATCCGCGTACAAAGACATTTTGGACAATTTCATGCTCCCAACTTTGTGGGAACAGTCTGGGGATGGCCCCTTCTTTTTCCAACACGACTGCGTACCAGTGCACAAAGCAAGGCCCACAAAAAAACATGGATGAGCAAGTTCAAGGTGGAGGCACTTGACTGGCTTTCACAGAGTCCTGACCTCAACCCGATAGAACACCTTTGGGATGAATTAGAGCAGAGACTGTGAGCCAGGCCTTCTCGTCCGACATCAGTGCATGACCTCACAAATGCGCTTCTGGAAGAATGGTCAAACATTCCCATAGACACATTCCTAAACCTTGTGGACAGCCTTCAATTAAGAGATGAAGCTGGTATAGCTACAAAGGGTGGGCCAACTGAATACTGAACCCTACGGACTAAGACTGGGATGCCATTAAAGTTCATGTGCATGTAAGGCAGGTGTTCCAATACTTTTGGCAATATAGTGTATATATAGTACATTAGACCTATCCCTTGCCCAGGATGTTTTTCTTTATGCATGAACAAAGTTTCCATTTTAAATTATTAGTTTTAGAACACTGTCACAAAATGACTAGTATAATAACAAGTATATTTTATATACTTATCCACTGGCAATTCCTATGAACACATATGAAAATGTACTCCCACACAAAATGTTTTTGATGGTCTTTATAAAATGCCAAATAAATATAATTTAGGTTTTACCAAAACTTTCTAGGGCGATACTCAAGACAGAACATTTTTTTTGCTACAAATGAATTGTCAAGCCATCTCTGGCAATGAAACCATTGTCAAGATATAAAAATACAATCAACACAGAATGTAATAGATTTGCTAAGTGTGAAAAACCATGGCACTTTCACATGTGAACTGAGCCTTGGTGACATAACAGGTTACACATTCCCTCATTAATCTCCTTTTCCTCCTAGCTGGTCATCTCAACAGTCTTGGCTTTCAGATCCTGCAGACACCTATTAAATTATAATGGTCTTTCAAGTATGACAATTCTTCAAACACTTTTCGCTGATTAGATTTAGGTTTGGTTTTCCCCAGACAAATATTGATTTTTGAGGCAGCAATTTAGATAACTACTACAGATTCTCATGTTCAAAAACCAAATAAATTACCCGCAACCAAGAAACAAAAATGGACCAAATGAAAGACAATTATTTATCTCAAATGGAGTAGATAAAACATTTACACTGTCCCCCGTTTATACTGGCTATACATCCCAGACATTTGTAAAGTTTTCTGTGAGGGGTTCTTTGTGGCTGCTTGCACTTGGCAAAGGCTGTAATGTGTACACATTTACTTTATGGGGAGCCACAGTTCTAAGACTAGAATTCTTAAATTAATACTAAAGTATAAAAACTTAAATTATATGTAGGATTCAAATTTCAATTCTCAATTGTTTCAACATCTTTCTTTAAAATGGTGTGTAAATTTGGGTCTCTAAACAAGCCTTATAATTTTTCCAGAGATCAAAATCTGCTATAACTTCCTTTATGCTTTTAGTTACAATTCCTTCTTCTCTGTTAGTAGCAACCCATTGAGATTCACTGTGAACAGAATGTGTAAGTGATGACGAGTGAGGAGTCCAAGGTAAAAGAACACATTAGCATGTTTTTCCCTGCTGGTCACTGGATGGTGCCGATTTTAGTTGTGCTGATCAGTTTTTTGATTACTCTTACAGAAGCTGGTCTGACAGAATGTTCTCAAGCAACCAATGGGCAGACTGAATAGCTAAAGTTTACACCAGATTTTTCAACTAAGGTGCTCAGGCACCCTAGAGTTTCTTTAGGTTTCTTCGGAGGTGGCTTGGCAAAATGCCCAAAAATTGGGTACAAAGCAGGGAGTGGAAGAAGCCTACCTTTTAGTTACATAAAGCCACAAGTTTTCATTATGCACCATTACAACCTTCCACCTGCCAGTGTCATAACAACCAATTACGTCATCAGTTGATAAGGAAGATGTCAGCTGCCTTCACAGCATCCTTGTTTGCCCCATCCTTTGCCCCTTTCCATCAGCACTGGGGTCACATTAGCTGTGTGAGGTAGAGGAACTGAGGGAGAAGATGAACACTGGAATACTTGTCAGTACCAGTGTGCAAAGGTGTATTTGTTTTGGAAAAATAAATCACTGCTAATGTTGGGTGTCCCATGTGTGTAGATGTTCCTGCATTATGTAAAGTTATTAGTTTAGGTTTTTACATTTTAGAATGGGTTGCCCCAGGACTGTGCATACATTTTAAAGGGTGCCTTGACTGAAAAAAGGTTAAGAAACACTGGCCTACACCATGCAGTGACCAGCTCCCTCCCTAGAACATGCCCGTCTAAAGGGTGCCCAGGGATGTGTTTTTTTCACTATAACAATTAAATTAAACTGATGTATCACCACCGCTCTCCTCCCCGCTGGCTACTCTGTAGAAAAGGACATGCTAAAAACAAAGTAGCTGCAGCTACAGAATTACATATTTTGAAAAAAATACTTCAACAATAGTAAGGCCTTGTTCACTTGGGAGTACTAAAGGGCACATTCATGCAAGGGACATGTTTTGCCTGCACTGGATGCACAAGTGTTTTATTCATCCATGTTCAGGCAGTCCCATTCATGTCACTTAGGCCACAGCGGCTGCACAGACACAGGCTGCTACTACCAATTGGACATCCATGTGGATGCATGTGGGTCTCACCAAACTCACATTGCCTGCATTACTGCAGTGCCCAGTGGTAATGCACATCTCACCATATTACTGAAACACAAAAATCTGAATTGGCACTCAGACATACGGTCATACACACAAACGGGAAAATTAGAATGAAACTGTTCAGCACTGGCGCCACACTTAGTCACAAGTAAAAGAAAAAAGAAAAAGAAAAAAAAAAAATCACACAGATGGTATTTTTACAGGGCAACATAGTCCTCATGCAACTGCATTATGACAGCCAGAATTTCATCTGTGTGGATAACAACAGGATAGGTATTCTGTGTCCTGTACAAAAGAATTGACATATTTGGTCCCAAACACTAATTTTAGCCAATAATCTCTACGAATGGGTTCCTGAAGATATTTGAAAAAATTCTTAAACTACAGAACACAATAAACATATGCTAACACACAGAAACCAGTAGCTAAAATGAAAAGGTAATATACACGAACATGTTCAATCTAGGTCACCGTTAAATTATGTTCATTTGGAATGCCAAACATTTACATTCCTCCACAGGGTGTCAAGAAAAACAGCGAGTGGCTAGATTTACATTTTCAATTAACAAACTGTAAAGATCACATAAAGACACTTTAGTGAACACAACGGGCAACAGCCAGGAAAGTTTAAAAAAAAAAAAAAAAAAGTTACTTGTTGGGAGACAGTTTTGCACACCATCCTTACCAACTAATAAAAACATTCATACAGACATGTAACAAACATGTAGATACAGTATGTAGGTGGTGCAATAACAAGGAAATATTGATTACCTCTGATGTCTGTTACACGAAAGGTACAGGTTATGGTGTGGATTTACATTGTACAAAAGGCAAACAGACTGTGCACTATTTGCAAGTGCAGTTGCCCCAAAGCTTGATAAATGAGATTATGTTTTACTTTACAAAACATACCCAAACACATGCAAGGGAAATAAAAAATTTGTTTGATTGGATGAAGGAAGCCAAAAGAGCTTCATCTCATTTACGAAGCTCTTCAGCAACTGCACTTGTAAAATGCACAATATTTTTGCCTTTAGCAAATCCACCCCCATGTATAATAAGACAATACTAAACAACACCTAGGACTGTATGTATTGATTTGACTATATTATACATACATCCTGCATTTTACTAAATTACATACACATAAAATGCCTTATGTTGGCACTGCAGACATCCTGAAAGCTGAATCTCCCATGTTGAGAAAGATGGACTTTCAGAGTACTGCTTTAACTATGATATAAAACTGATTCCAGTGTTTAACATAATGTATTCTGAGTTTTGTTTTCTCGTTTCCTTATTTTGATAATATGTGGTTTCACTCAAGCTACATTCTACAAATTAGAGTCACTGTGAACCAAAGACACATAGGAATAGTTTTACTAAAACTGGGGAGTGCAAAATCTGGTGCAGTTCTGCAGAGAAACCAATCAGCTTCTACTAGAAGTTGGTTTCCATGCAGAGCTGCACCAGATTTTGCACTCTCCAGATTTAGTAAATCAACCCCATAGTTTTGCGTTGTTTTGGGTCGTAACAGTTTAACATAGTTTTGAGTATGGATATTGATTTCACAATCTAATAGCATAACTACTGAGTTGTTAACACCTTAAGGCTGGGTTCACACTTGTGCGGTGCGGTATATCGCATGTGATTCGCACAGGAACAGCACCGCTTTCCTGTGTAAATCACACGCAAATTGTATGCGGTCCCTTTTTTTGGTCCGCACTAGAAACGGACCATGCACACCCATGCAATCCGATTCTGCACATCACACTGCATTTTGCAGACAGATTTCAGGGTGTTAATTTAACATACACACCTGCAGCAGTGCACATGAACGGGGTGCAATTGTGATGCAGTACAAAATTCGCACAGAAAACGCTGCAAATTCCGCACCGCATCAGCGTGAACCCAGGTTAAAACATCAAAAAATACAAATTAAATGTATTATAAAAAAAAAAATAATAAATGCACATTTATTGCAGGTAAAAAAAACGAGAATGTATTATTTTTTGTTCCAGGAGCCTATAAACCATTGAACCAGTGATCAGCAGATCGATGGTG